TAGCTATAGTAAGGTCGCTTCCACTTAGCAATTCTGCATCTATCAAAAATAGTAATATTATTAGGAAATCACGAGCTTTGCCCTGGTGGAACAAAAAATGTTTAGAAGCAGTTCAGAAATCCAAATTGTCATATGTTAATTTTAAAAATAATCCTTCTGCTGAAACATATATAGAGTTCAAAAGATTACAAGCTTTAAAAAAACTTACCTTGAAAACTGAGAGAAACAATAGTTGGATTGATTTGTGTAATTCTTTTAATCGTTGTACCCCCTTGTCTCGAATTTGGAAATTAATGCGTAAATTTAACAAAACATATTCTTTCAGTAATAATAATGATGATTGGATTCCAGAATTTTTACAGAAATATACCCCAGATTATGTACATAATTCACCTAGTTTTCCCATAGTTGATCATTCAAATACTTCATATAACTATTTAATTAAACCCTTTTCTTTTCAAGAGTTGTTGTCTGCAATTCATTCTAGAAGGAATACAGCAACTGGTCTGGATGGCATTCCTTATTCCATGCTCAAAAAGCTCAGTGATAATAGCCTCCAAATCTTCTTATCCATTTTAAATAGTTTGTGGAGAAATAATGATATACCCGATCCATGGAAGTCTGATTGTATAGTACCCATTTTGAAACCAGATAAGCCCAAATTGAATCCAAACTCATATCGTCCAATCACTCTTACATCTTGTGTTGGAAAAATCTTTGAACAGTTGTTAAAACAAAGACTTGAGTTTTTTGTGGAACAAAATCGCATTCTACCTGCAAATCAATTTGGATTTAGAAGAGGAATGTCTGCTCGTGAAAGTATTTGCCAACTTCATCTTGATATTCAAAATAGTTTAGTTAATAAGAATTTCTTGGTATCTGTATTTTTCGATGTTTCTGGTGCCTTTAATAATATAAATATTCATGTGCTTTGTTCTGAATTGGCTTGTTTAGGAATTCCAAGTAAAATAATTCAATGGATTTATAAATTTTTGACAGAAAGGGAAGTGTATGTCAAATATAATAATAATTTATATGGTCCTAGACGTGCATCCATTGGAGTTTGTCAAGGAGGAATTCTGTCTCCCTTATTGTTTATTCTGTATATAAGACGTCTTAATTTAGTACTAGGTTCTCATGTTAAAAATTTACAGTTTGCTGATGATCTTGTAGTTTATGCATCTGGGAAAAAATTAACAGAAATTACCAACATTGTAAATAAATCTTTAGAAGGTCTTTATAATTATTTTTCTTATTTAAATCTTGATATCAATGCCCACAAATCAAACATAGTTATATTTGGAAAAATTCATAACTCAGCCTCCATTGTATATTATAACAAAATCCCTATCCCCATTTCTTGTGAAGCAAAGTTTTTAGGAATATCATTTACTTACAATGTGTCATGGAACAAATATGTTGAAATTATAAGTTCAAGGGCTAACAAAGCACTTAATGTTTTAAAATCATTATGCAGATCATCCTGGGGAGCTGATCCCAAAATATTATTAATACTTTATAAGTCTCTCATTCGCAGTCATTTTGAATATGGGTTTCTCTGCTTTTCTGGTGATAATAGACTGGTGGATAAACTAGAAAAAATCCAAAATAAAAGTATGAGAATTATAACAGGAGCATTTAAAAGCACACCTATAAATTCATTACAGGTTGAATGTGGATTACCTCCATTAAATATAAGATTTTCCTACTTGAAAGAAAAGTTTATTTTAAAACTTTACACAAAAAAAAATAATCACCTTTTTTTAAACTTGGTCAATTCACATATTTCAACAGAGAATCTTTACATTCTTCAGAATTTTTCCCAATTTTTAAATTATATTAATGGCTTGCAAATACACCAGTCAGAATTGCTACCTTGTTATCAGGGACAATTTGAGAGTAAATTCCCAGCAATAAATATTTTCATTGATCATAAATTATCTTGTAAGCAAGATGTTTATAATAAATTTTCTGAGTTTTCTGGTCATCGGTTCTTATATACAGATGGTTCAAAAACAGAATCAGCAGTCTCTTTTGCAATTTTTGATGAGCAATTGAAGTTAGGTACAGGTTACAAAATTAATTCCAACACAAGCATATTTACAGCCGAGGCTCTGGCTATTCTTGCAGGTCTAAAACATATTAAATATAAAAATAATGGATGTCATAAGTGGGTAATAGTCAGTGACAGCATGAGTGTTTTAGAAAATCTTAGAAACAATAAGTTCAATGCTAACACAAACTATCTTATATTTTCGATTAAACAACTTTGGTTAGATTTGAACATTATGGATAATATTCAAGTATCATTTGTTTGGGTTCCTTCACACATTGGTGTGGTAGGAAATGAAAAAGTTGACTTTTTGGCAAGGTTTATAACCAATTCTTCAATAATCCCTGATTCCAGCAATAGCCTTAATATAACTGTTCCAAATAATGACATAATTTTTCTTTTAAAAAATAGATCCACTAATTTGTGGAAAAAACATTGGAATTTTAAAGTCCAAATAGAAAACAAAGGTTTATGGTATGCTTTTTTTAACGTTCCTGTAAATTCTACACCTTGGTTCTGCAAAAGTAACACTTACTTTAACAGAAAATTTTATACAACTATCCTGAGGCTTCGTTTCGGTCACTGTAGTCTAAAATACCATCTTTATCGTCTAAATATAGTACAAAGTCCCTTTTGCGATCGTTGTGACACTCAAACAGAGCAGTCTTTGGACCACATATTCTTTGAATGCCCATCCTTTGGCATTCAGCGCCTTGTGCTAATGGATGAGCTGATTGAGATTTATAAAAGTCCGGAACGGGTACCGCGCTCTACTTCAAATCTGCTCGTAAATACCTCCACATTTCTACCTTTGTTTAAATTTGTAGATAGCACAATTGGGCAAATATAGGTGTACATAGCTTAGGGTAATTTTTACGTGTCTTTGTTGTATTTAGTCACTTTTTTCTTCTTTTTTATCCTATTTCGATTTTTTTTGAGAATGAAGTCTCGAATGCATAGGTATTATTTGGTTGATGTCAATATGAAACGGGAAGTAACTTTTGTTTGTTGATGTTGTAAGTCAAAGAATAATTCAATGGGTCTTTGAAATTTTTTGAAACGTATTTTTATTGTAATTTTGTTTTTATACTGAAGAAGTTTAATATCATTTTTATAAACTGAAGACTTAACGCCATTTCTCAATACTAAGAAATACAATTCAACCAATGACGAGGCAGTATGGTCTATGATCTTAGCCTGTTCCGAAAGGAACGAATAATTGAAAAAAAAAAAAAAAAATAAAAAAAAAATTGTTCGTTGTCAATTTTTGCGCCAATTTATGTTGTTTGTTCTATTCACTGTCTGTTTCTACGTAAATTATTAAATTTTATGTGAAATTGTGAATCTCTACTCACTAGGTGTTTTCCCAAGGTAAATTTTAAAGTTTAAAGAACGTTTTTAGTTGCTTGAGTATAATATAAACGAAACTAGCTGGACTGGGCCTGTTTGTTATGATGCAACTACTAACGTTTTAATTGCATTTAAATATAAAATTATCGATATCATTAACAAGGCAATTTGGTAATTCAGGCTTAATTAAAGAATAAGCTTACTAATGGCATGATATAACGCATTCGTGATACAGAAGTCTTTGGACTCGGTCGATTGATTTGTTGGTAAGTTATTTTTGCTAATTATATTATACAGTTATTGTCTTAGCCGTAAACATTTTGAGTGACATAAAATAAAATATTTGGTATTATGGTTAAAAGTTAATTAGATTTTTTTCATTTAATTTAATCGGATATTGCGGACTCCCATTGTAAATTTGTCTCGTTGTCGAAGCCTAAATTTTCCGCCTTGGGTGTTACTGTGCATACATGAGAGTTTAGAAATCATACCAGATCGAAAAGAGAACGAGTTGAGGATTCTCTTCACATGTATTCATGCTGTCATTGTGAGGGTCAAGCAATTTTCATGAATGTCGTTAATTGGATGGGTGACCCAAAAATCATTAGGTTTACCTTTTACATGTTGTTCGGGAGACATTTTCTGGTTTTGCATGCATGCATTTGTAGTCTTCAAACACCCACTAATCCATAATAGGCTTGTGTAGTGGGTTATGGTCAGTTCTTGTGTTATATGGTAGTCTTTATAAAAATATATATTCAGTCGAATCCGTTTAATATGACACCGCCTATAGTGACCAACCGCTTATTATGACGTAATTACACAACGAAGTTTGGTTTTCATATAAAATTCTTGAAAAAACGTCGGATATAATGACTTGGCTTATAGTGACATGTCGGTTATTATGACCCATTTTTAATAAATTATTTCCGGTCATAATGACCGCCTAGACTTTTTACACTTCCGATAATTGTCGGTGATTCTCGGCGTCGTTCGGCACGTGGCTAATTTGAAAGTGTTGGAGAAGAGGAAGTCGAGGAAGAACCATTACCTACCGCAAAAGAGGCATTAATGGCTGCAGAATTATTATCACTATTTGTTCATAGCAATATTGAAAATGATAATTTGACCATGGTGATCTTCTTTAGACAATACTATTAGAGACTGTTATTACAATAAATAAAAAAAACAAATACAGGCAATAATTACAGATTCCTTAATAAAAAATAAAAAAAACTAATATTACATACTTAAATGTATCGTTTATAATTTTTCGCTCCGCTTATAATGACGTGTTTGTCAATTCCCTTCGATGTCATAATAAACGGATTCCACTGTATATGTAAAAATGAAAAAGTTTTATGAAAAAGTTTGATGAAAGTTATTATATTTTCTGTCATAGTAAAACACTACAAAATTTTGCTATTATAATATTCTTTATTTGTTGCTTTCAGTCAATTACGTTGGTTTTTAAATGTATATCGAACTTAGGTACATCATTATCGTATTTGTAATATGTTGCATTTTACATGCTACAAACCTGCTTTTACATATTTACTTGTTTTCGTTATTCGAGCCAGAGTCGAGAGAGAATTTCCATTCTACTAAGTTAAACATTGTTAATAGAGTATCATTATTTGAGTATTTTGATTCATTATAATACTTATAGAAAAAAATTATAGCAAACAGCACCCATAGCATTACAAACTCTAGAATGATTTTTAGTTAACTGCCTGAATTGTTGTTAAGATAACTATTGCAAGGAGCTATGGAGGGTGCAGTGACCCCAGAAGGAGGGCGTCGCACACGCGCAGCCCTCGCTGAGATTCCAGCACGGCTTGATCGTCTACGTGTCACTCCGCTGCAGCCTCTTACGAACACTAGAGAGATGTCTCCTGCCTTGCCTTCTGGATACCTCAGTCCAGCGCCTTCACCTGATGAGCTACTCATACAGCAAAGAGGTAGTAATTCATTTTACATCTATACTAATATTTAGAAATGTGCTGGATAGTAGTTTCACCAAATGACCAAATACTATAAACCAAATAGTACTTTTATTGAACAAGATAGTTGATAGAATTATTCGGTTCACCATTTCACTATTTTTATTTAGTCAAGAGTGTTTCTGATTACTCCTTGTAGTATGAGCAATGATTTTGGAAGCAAGGAACCTATAAGAAGTTCTTTTTTAAATTGAATGGAAATCTTCAAACTTTAAAAAAGGGATAAATAATACTTATATCAAAAACGATTTATTTAAGAAATTACTATTAAAGTCTGGCGGTATATGGGACCACATTGATCCATCAAGCTGTGGAATAAAATAAGAATTTTGTAGATCAGCCAGCAATTTGCAGAATAATAGTTGAACATACATAAAATATATTTTTGTTTATATATATATATTGCTGTCAAACACATAATCTTCTTTCCTCCTTTTCTATTTTGAAGTCAGATAAAAATCTAACAGACTTGCTGGAAAGAGCCGAGAGCTTTATGTTCCTGCACCACAATTTACCATTAATAAATTGTAATTATTAAAATATGTTTATATTTATTTTTGCTTATTTCTGATCTCTATTATATTTTTATAGTGACTATTGTTTATAAAATAATTATTTATGATTTGAAGCTTTGCTTTATTTTAATAAACACAATTTTCATGGGATTTCTTTGATTTATTGTATCATAAATTTTCCATAAGAAGTTTTGTCTTTTAGTAATCTAGCCTAATAAATAGAATTACTCAAACCAAATATATTCAGCACCAACACAGAATAATACTAACAAATATGAATAGTTAAAAAGATGCCGAATACCGATTAATCTTAGAAATCACCCATGCAATCAATGCATCGTTGCCAACGCATTGGTAGCGTATTGATGCCCTTCTTAAAAAGATCAGCTGGACGAGAGGCAACAAATTCTTCAAAGTCATTTTGTATTGCCTCTCAGGTATCGAATTTATTTCCTTCCAAGAAAATATTCTAATTCTGGAAAAATATAAGTTTGTAGGCGCAAGGTCTGGTGAGTACGGCGGATAACGGAGAACTTCCAACCCCAGCTCTTTTAGCTTGAAGACCGTCTGCTGTGCAGTATAAAGTCGCGCGTTGTCGTGCAGGAGCAGTGGAGCCGAACGATTGACCAAAGCTGGTTGGAGACGTGCGAGCTTCTCCATCAATGTGTTCAGTTCTTTACAGTACACATCTGCAGTAATGCTCGTCCCGTTTGCTAAGAAGCTGTGATTAATTACACCCGCGTTACACCACCAAACAGTGACCATCACTTTTCTAAGGGTTTTGGTGCTGAATCAAGGTCCAATCAACTTGCTGAGCGCTTACGATTGTCGAACAGGACCAATTTCTCGTCACTAGTAACAATGCGATTGAGAATCATTTGTATGCCTGTTGAGCAGCGCAAGACACGTCTCGACGCGTAATTCGCGCTGGCGATTATTGAGTTCGTGGGGTATCTATTTGTATATAATTCAGCCGTAGATTGAGTTTCATCAGCTTCCACGATATCCTTTAATTCGTCATTGTCGACCAAAGTTTCCGGCGACTACGGGGTTCATTTTTCAGGTCAAAATTTCGGGTGGTGTGTTCGATTCTAGTGGTCGCTCCGTAAACGTCGTTGATGTTGCGTGCCGCTTGTGCAGCTTTGCTGCCACGACGGTACTCATACTCCTTAATTACTCGAATTGACGAAAAATATTCGAATGCGTTGAAAATAAAACACTAACTATTAAACAAATGACGATTTGAGAAAAAGAACTCCATGTTTTTAAAATAAAATAAATTTGAAATTAGAATTATCAGCCAAAAGAAAATATTTTGCTTTCACATGGCCAGTAAGGCAGAACGGCAATTTATTATAAAGCAGAAACCTATTATTATAAAGCAGAAAAAAAGATAATATTTCATAAATGAGTATGTTTATTTAGTTGATTTGACCATTTTTATTATACAACAGAGTTTTGTTTTATGGTTTTATTTATATATCTTTGTAAATTTTAATTTGTAAATTGATATAGGCTACTTTTTACGTCATTACAATTAATTTCACATTAACCATTTATTTATCAACGGATAATTATGGATAACATGCTAATTAACGAATGAATCGTGTTTTGATTCATTGTTGTAATGAATATTGGTTTGGTAATAACATGTTTAAATGTCGTTAATGTAAATAGCTGATAATAATTGGCAAATATTAGCATAGACTCAGAATAAAATTCGCTTAAAAAGTTGTAATTTCTTTAAAATGACAAAATGCGAGTTATAATAATCCATTACGATTATTTATATGATAAATTAAATAAAAATAACTTAAGTGTTTTGTATGTTAGTCGTGTTTTTATGTCCATGTCATTTTGTTATTGCGCAATAAAGTATATGTTTACTTGATACATCTTATTGACGCTTTTAAGGATATTTAAAATTTGTTTTTTTTTTCAGGTCGAAAACGTTTGCCAACGACCTGGTCACCGGATATAGATTTCAAACGTAATGCTTCGTTTCATTCGTTGGTACGTACTCCACCCAAAACTTCCGGTCGGTTCTCGCCTCCAAAACTGGGTGTCACCTTGCGATCTACGCCGAGAAAGCGGCTGCTATTAGGCGAAGCAGAGAGAATTCCTCTCACACCAGAGAAGATAGATTTCAGTGACATCAGCACTCCTCAAAAGTTTAAAATCACCAGCCCAATCAAAAGTACACCGCCAATGAAAAAATCTCGGCTCGAAAAACTAACAGAATTCAGCGGACCAATAGACGTAGCTCTGAAGGGGTTGAGTCCCACTCAGCTCATAAGTATGATTAAAAACATAACTTATACGCATCCTGAAATCGAAGAGGAGATACGCAGAGAGATGCCGACGCCAGATTTATCCCCGCTAGAGGAAAGATTGAGTTATTTGAAGTCGAATATCTTCAAGAGTCTGCCGACATCACGATTGACTTCAAAAACTGACTCGCCTGCTTACTCCCGCGTTGCGACACATTTGGCTGCATTCAAAAAGTGTGTCGTGGAACAAGGGAAGGTTTTGGTGGAATCTCAGCATTGGGAGTCTGTTATTCGCTATGTTTTTCTCGCATGGACTTATGTAAGAGCTACGCCTGTTTGGGACAATCAACCGCATAACACTCAACGTAAACAATGTTTCAAAGCGCTCACCAATTTTTGTATGTCAGCTCTTAAGAAAGGTGATCTGAGTCAGGATTTCCTAATCGATGTCCAAGATAAACTACAAGGCATGGTTGCCGACAGTGATGATATACAAACATGTCTAAAGCACATTCAAGGGCAGTTACAGGAATAGGTTTAACTTAATAACCGACAATGTACAATAAGTGAATTGTTGAAAATACACCAGTTATTTCTACTACAGAAGCACAAGTATGTAAGATTTCAATGCTATTGCAGAATATTGTTTTATGATGCGTTTGCAATTTTTTTTTTTACTTATTAAAATAAAGCTATGTAGAGGAAGCCTTGTAGTTCAAATTGATAACATAATAAGTGGATTTTGTATTAGACTGATTTTGGAATGAATCAAATTATTGATTGATATTTTATGAACACTCAAATATTAAGACGAAAATTTAATTTTTTGATTCTTTCAATGCTGTGAAATTACCAAAATAATTTTGTAGTACATAGTAAGTACCTTAATATATTTAAACACATGAGAAGGAATTTTGTAATGAATTTACACAATTTTAGTCATTACATTAGTTACGAACTTTAATCGTGGTAGGGTTGATGGCTGTCGTATAATTGGAAAATATTAGATACGTAAAATCTACATAGGTGTGATGTCATGTGAAATTTCAATTCCCCGTAATTTATAGATTACGTAAAAAGAAAAACCTACTTATTTAATATTTTTCAGTTATACATTCAATAAGACAAATAATTCAGTAAGTCGAAAATAAATATTTTAGTCATGATCCCTACTATAATACAGTCGACGTCAGGTTATACCAGGGTTGCCAGCCGTTCCGAATTTAACGGGACTGCATCGATATCAATGATGTTATCCCATATCTCGATTTTTGATAAATCTTGACAAAAATAATTATTTGAAAATAAAAGTACACATGCTTTGATTACCTGTGGTTAACTTTTCATCAGGCGGGCTTTTTATATACTATTGTGTTAACCTGATGTGCTGCTGGGTGTACAAGTAATAATATTTTAATAGAATATGGACTGTATGAAAATGTGCCTTACAAAATAAAAAGATAATCATGGAATAAGCTTATTTTCTTATCGTGACAAAATATTTCATGATGTCGTTTATGTTTCAATAAGTACGTTTTGTGTAAAGTATATTTTACGCTTATAATAATAAAGTGTATTTTTTGATGAAGTACTCGTTTTATTTATTTTAGTAGCTACCTACTACCATGAACCAAATCTTTATATACGACATATATAAATATGTCTAATCCTAAAATATCAGATTAGCCTCTGCAGTGATTGAAATGAAAACCGAAAGAATAATTTCGTTTTCGCTGTTAAATTAGGAAGCTTTTCTAATTTAACCTAATGAATATTTTATTTTCAACAATAATTAATTAATGAAGTATATTATTTACATGGACATACCTACCAACATAATACATTAATTTTACTTAACGGTTGCCCGTTAGGGTATTTTACTCTTATTAAAATAACTTTGTTAAAAATTGTGTTTTCTATACACAGTACAAACCAAAGTTACTTCCAGCTGTCTATGTCGAGATCTTTTTTATTTATTTAAATTAGGTACACTTACAGATTACAGTCAACACATGACTTCGAGAAATATATTAGATTACTTAGTCTAAACAATAATCCAAAATAAGTGTACACAGCATGATCCATAATAGAGGATGGTCTATACAGTCCTAGCAAAAAAACAAAAAAAAGCTAACTTATTCTATCCAATGACTTCTATCCAAAAATAGGGATTATTTCGTAGGTGAAGATACCTGGTCTTTAAGGAAATCAGTTATAATCATTTTATATCTGGAGAATTTATGCAGTAACTTATGAAGATAAAGTAAGTTGTATCTTCTACGCCGGGTCTCCAAGGACATTACATCGAACTTGGATAACCTTTGAGAGTAACTAACCAGGGTTCGACCCAGGTTATGCTTCCATGAAATATATTTCAGGCACCTCCTCTGAACTCTCTCCAGACTATCCACGTGAACCTTGTAATAAGGACACAGGAGAACAATACTCTAAGACACTTCTCACTAAACCGAAAAACAGACTCAATACTATAAGGACTCTTAAAAGATTTTGCAGACCTCATTATAAAGCCTGTCAGTCTATGGCTCCTCCTTATGATATCCTCATAATGTGGACAGAAAGACAACTGCTCGTCAAAAACAACACCCAGATCACTAACACTTGTTTTTCTTGATAAGATGATGTTATTTAGGTGATACGACTGGTCTAGCCTATTCGTCCTCCGAGTAAATGAAATGACACAACACTCAGATCATCTATAAAAACTACAAACATCAGAGGTCCTAAGTGCGATCCCTGGGGAACACCTGAAAATACCGAGGTGGGGGATGAGGAGTAGCCCTTGAGAGTAACAAGCTGCGAACAGTTACTTAGATATGATTCTAACCACCTTAACAGACTCCCATGTATACCGTAGTGGGCAAGTTTGAGACATAATAAGGAATGATCAACTGTGTCAAAGGCTTTGCTGAAATCTAAATATACAGCATCGACTTGGCCCCCAGACGCGAAAACACTATATAGGTAATTTTTATATACTAGTAAGTTACTGAGCGTGGACCTTTTTTTAATAAATCCACGTTGGTAACTCGATATAAATTTAATGACATGATTGTAGAGATGAGCGTATACAAGAGCTTCAAAAACTTTTACTAAGCATGAAAGAATACTAATTGACCTATAGTTAGCACATGAATTTCTATCACTAGCTTTAAAAATTGGTATATAGCTTTTTTCCAGCGAGTGGGGAAGACACCAGTTGTTAAGGATTTATTATATATTATCTCAAGGGGAGAAGTAAGTTCCTTAGAGCAAAGTTTTAGAAATTTAGGGGGGATATCATCTGGCCCCGATCCTTTACCCACATTGAGTTGTTTAAGTTTTATATAAATGTCTTGCTCACTAATTTGAACATCATGCAAGGAGAAAATAAGTGCTTCCGGTAAACTTATAAGTTTACTGATATTATCAGGTATATTGTACACCGAACCAAAATACTCTAAAAACAGCTCACAAATTCCGTGACCATCACTACATCTTTTATTGTTATGTGTCATAGTATCAGGTATGGAGACTGCCCTTCTTGTTGTTTATGTAGCGCCAAAATGCTTTAGGATCTTCAGATAAAGATATTAAGTATGCTTTGTAACATTCTTTAATTAAGACTTTGCATCTATTCCGCAGCAATGAAAAAGTGTCGTAATCTAGGGGGTTAGAATATTTTTTGTAACGCTTATGCTACTTATATTTCTCATTAAGGCAGCGAATCAATGCTGGGCTATACCACGAAGGGTACCCATTAGGGGTTTTTCTACAATATGGTGTATACTTAGAAATAATACCGTCGAGAGTATCGTAAAAATCATTTACACATGTATTCACATTTGTTGATGACAGTAACATCCTCCAGTCGACATTCCCTAATTCTAAACGTACTTTGGTGTAATCACATTTGTTAAAATTATATCTATTCTTGTGGTTGGGTTTCAATGGCTTGTCTGTAGTGATCTTTTTTACATTAATTTGATAAGCCAAATGATGACATTCTAAGCGACAAAGAGGTTCAGCTTCCTCAACTATTATGAAGGAAGATGGTAAAGTGGACAATACCAGGTCAAGATATCTATTATTATTATTTGGAATTGAGTTAACTTGGACAAGATAACAGATATTTATTGTTTTGATTGACGAGCAGATTTGCTTTACTGTCCTTCGGATTTGAAGGTGTAAAGTGATTTGAAGAGCTACATTTATCCCAATTTATATTAGCGCTGTTAAAATCACCTAAAATAATAATTAATTATTAAAATAATAATAAATTGTCCCCAGGAGCCAAATTGAGAATTACATTCTGGTTATTATCGTGAAACGCTGTAATATCCTCAATTGATAAGTCAGGTGGTAAGTAGCAAAGACAAATATTTAGAGAGGGTTCTCCACGATTGCATGCAGAAATTGTAAGCCAGATATCCTCAACCCTACTCTCCCAAGGCATGCGACGGGTGACATTAATACAATTTTTAACAGCTACAAGAACACCGCCGCCACTTTTTTTTGTGGAACATGTATTCTCACGGTCTCGCCTAAAAACACTATATCTATTATCTACTGATTCGTTGTCATACACACCGCTATCAAAATTAGTCTCGGTTAGAAAGATAATGTCGTAACTATTATTCAAAATTACATCGTTTATTTTTGATCTTGCTCTACCTAAATTTTGATAAAAGATTTTATACATTTAATTGTAAAATGATACCTGAACAGAAAGATATAATTAATCCAAACTCATGATGTTTCATGAATTACGATAACACATTAATTGAGTTTATCTAGGCTTCCCAAATTGTGTATGAGAATAGCACCGGCAGAGTCATTCTTGCGCACATAGATTTGTCCATATTTTATCCACACGTACTTGTAGCCGTGCTCCTTGGCTACTTTTCTAGTTGCTGCGTGCAATGCTTTTTGCTCCGGGGACAGATGTTCGGCAACAAAAATTCGGCATGGTTCACCGGGGATATCTACATCACTGGACATCAGACCAGTACTTGAATTTGCTTTTATATACCAATGTGTTGCTGATAGTACAAGGTCCCTGATGCGAGGTGTAGAGAAAGTCACCACTATATTTCTTGGTCTGTTCGATGTGGTATTAAGTTTGGCAACTCTGCGACATGCGCTGATGTGAATGTCCTCTAAAGAAACTTTTACGACATCACAAAGTCTTTTAAATATGGCTATTACATTCTCATTTTTTCGCTCCGGAACAGCCTGTAGTTCTACGTTGCAGCTGCGCGAGATCTTCTCAATTCCTGCTAAGCGAGCATTTAGTCTGGTCAATTCCACCTGAAGCTCCGATTTCTGCGTCTCGAGTTGTTTTATGATCTGAGAATTATTCTCAATTTTGAATCGCATTTCTTTTTGTTCCTCACAAATGAAATCCGTTGTGGTACTGAACTCATCCTTGATGATTTTCAGCGCAGAATTAATTTCACTCTGAACCATTTCTTGAACATCCTGTCTCAACACCTTACGAAAACCCTCCATAAAAACCGATAAAGAAGTACTGAGTTTTTCTTCTAAAAGTTCGCTAATTTTATTCAGTGTAACTTTTTCCCCCGAAGTAACTACTCCAATAGTTTCAGTGTCTAGTGGAAATGTCGATATATTTGCGTTCATGGAAAGGTCGGGAATCATTTCACAAGACATATTCATATTATCATCGATACGCGGCAGGTTATTCTGACGCACAGGTGTGTTGTCATTAGAGCGAAAACGACGAGTTACATTGCTACACGCAGGGCATATCCAGTTCGACGCTTGATCCTTTGGAAGTGCAAAAAATTTTTGTTTATCAATATTGAGGCAGAGATGATGAAATTAAGCTATGCATAGCCGACATTTCAGTGACTCCTTTGCACTTAAAGCTTTTTTGCACGCGCTGCAATTCATTATAGCAACTCGATTGCAGGTTTATTTTGGCCAATAATTTATTACTATAACGTACCAACAACACTAATCATCCAATGCAAGCAGTAGCGGAACTTGTAAGCGGCGGTAAAAAGGAAAAGCAATATTAGCTTATTTCTGACACAATGCGTAGTATGCTTATCATGTACTCACTAATTTCAACTACCATGTACGTATAGTGCGTTTCACGAAAGAGTTCCCTTCGCCGTTATGTTGGCCCACCTGAATGTCAAAAACGTCAAACGCTTAAACGCATTATAGAGTTCGCGATATTTTCCGTGATTTATAATAGTCTTACTATTCTAATCATGCCGAAAACACTTAAAAGTGGTGAAAGAGAGTTAGTGTTAAAAGTAAAAACGTTTTGTGAGAGGGAGAAACGTAATAAAGAACCAATAATCCCTTTGGAACATGTACGACTTCGCGTGGCAGCTATGACAGGTTAGTAAAATGGGGCTGCCAGAACTATATACTCCCAAGTCCCCGTTACTACACATATGTATCTCGTTGTTATTTTATGTGTATTATTATAATGTATGTAAAGTAGTGGTAATAGTAGAATATAAAGTAGACAATATCCGTTCAAGAGCTAGTTTATCATTGCCTTGTAATTTAATTATTGTTTTATAAATCAGTTATAATAAACACCGAATCTAGAGAATTAGTTACAGCTAATGTGGATACCCGTTCATAATAAATTATGATACGTTTATAAATATATTCAGTACAGGGAGTTATACTTGCTATATAAGAGTAATACATTTGTTCTTTGTTTAAGGTATTTCTGAAAAAACTGTGTCGAATATTTCCAAAGAAGGCAAGGCTGCTGCTGGTTACAAAAATTTCAACTCCAGGCAAGCATCGTCCTAGAGAAAAAAGAATTAAACTGGATGATTTTGAACTTTGTGCATTACGACACAAAATTCACGAATTTTACGTTGTGAAGAAAGAGTTACCAACTCTCACTAAACTGCTTCATGAAATGCAAAACGAAATCGACTTCAAAGGTAGTCGTACCACTTTGTGGAGAATAATGAAGGAATTAGGATTTTTTTTCAAAAAATGTAGATCGAAAAGAAAGGTTTTAATGGAGAGATACGACATTGTGGCATGGCGTTTTAGATATTTAGAGGAACTTCGCAACAATCGTCTTGGTGACCAACGGCCAGTCGTATATTTGGATGAGACGTATATTTACTCCACATACTGTGCCGGTAAATGCTGGCAAAGTGAAACTGAAGATGGGGTTTTATCGGCAGATTCAAAAGGTCCAAGATGGATAATTGTACACGCTGGTGGTAAAATGGGTTTCATTCCCAATGCGCAATTGATTTTTAAGTCTCAGAATAAATCTGGAGATTATCATGATGATATGAATAGAAATAATTTTATGAAATGGATTAAAGAGAAGCTTTTGCCAAATCTACCGGCTCAGTCAATAGCAGTCATGGACAATGCATCGTACCATACAGTAGCGGTGAACAAAGCACCCACTATGTCGAGTACTAAAACAGAAATGCAAGAGTGGATTATAAACAAAGGCCTTGCATATTTACCGACTATGGTAAAAGCGCAATTATTTGAAGTGATCAATGACCATAAAGAACCACCCCTCTATGAAGTTGATATATTATTGCAAGATCACGGTCATAAAGTTTTAAGACTTCCTCCTTACCATTGCGATCTGAACCCAATCGAACTCATCTGGAGTCTTTTAAAAAGGAGGAATGCTGAAAAGAATGTGGGTCAGGAAGCAAAAAATATTGTAAATATAACCGAAGAGGCATTTAGTAGTATCACACCAGAAGAGTGGAAAAGAGAATGCTCCCACGTGGAAACAATTGAAAACAAGTACATTAACGAGGGAGTTACTGTTGATAATGAAATCGATCGATTTATAATAGAAGTTCGAGATGTCAGCGACACTTCAGACGATAGTGACACTGAAGATAGTGATCCTATATCGGGGATTGCTCCTCTCAAAGAACACAGTTATTTCAAAAAATAATTTTGTTTTTAAAACATTTGTTCCGTAAATAAATAATTATTATGGTTTAAACAGGAGTTTAATTTTATGAAAATTATAAAAATAATTATTAATATATAGTATTTTTCTATAGACCTTGATGGAAAATATACAAAAATCAAATCCAAAAAATGAAATTTTGAACAAATATTTGCAGTTCAATAGTTTTAGGTAATTCAAACTTTTTCAATTGATTTCATTTAATTGCATCGTAAAAAGTTCATGAACACGCAATTAAAATTGTCTTTTGAGACTGATCTTTTTTTGAAGCCCTGCGATGATGACTCAGTCAGGATCAAGTTATTTTAGTAGTAGATAATATGAAATTTTCTGTTACGCGTTTTTTTGTTTGATACGAAGTATTAGTTTCGAGAAGTTAGGTAAGTATAAGCAGATTAATAAAATAGTAACTTCAGTCCTACGTACACTTATTGGTATAAGCGTCAGATGATGATTTGTCATCATATTTCATATTTATTTTGTTATTATGTGCTTTGAGGAAGTTTTTTTTGTCACTAAATCAATATGAAGGCCGTTAAGTACTTTGTAATATTTGCAGAATTCTATAAAATTGTCTTTGGAATGCTGTTTGTCTGTATAATAAAAGCAATCAAGATTTAAAAAGTTGATAAATAAATCATTATCTATTTTTACCCATTTGTGTTTTTTTTATGATAATGGTTCGATTTTTTTTATTAATCGTAAATTACAGTTTTTTACGTGTAAAAGAATAAAAGTAATACTTAAGGTCTGTATTATACTTAAGTGTATTAAGTAATTGTTTACAGTCGAATCTTGATTCTAACAAAGTCTTGAAAAATTTTTGATATCACTTTTGTTTCTTTTTAATATTTCCTCATTAGATATATAAAGATAATATTATTATTAATATTTCTGTATTATAACGGAAAATTGTTATTTGCCGAGTCGACGTTTATATTACGCAATTTTCTAACAAAACTGTAAATGATCCCATATGCAATCTATTTCTACTGGATTATTAGGTAATATAAACTTAACAACCTGACCACACTCATTTAAGCGTTACCAACATAACGGCGAAGGGAACTCTTTAGTGAAACGCACTCTAGTCCGGCTGGCGTGATGGAAACAGTCTCATTTACAAAGCAAGCGGGAGCGAGTTCGAATCTAGCTGCCGCACACCTCTTTGCGCGTTCACCCTTTTTCAATCGTTTCCAATGGGGACTCCGGAGACACTCTTAAGCAATAATGATCACAGGGGCGAAGCCCTAGCACTCCCACGGCACAAAACAAATATATTCAAAACAATTGGCAAGGACCACCAAAACACGACCGCTCTGAAAGCCAGTTTAAATCGATGATTTTAAACTACACAACAAGGTTTAATGTAGTTTTCATCAATATACACAGTCATTTAAAGGGTAGGTTTATCTAGTATATGTATACGAGTTACAGGACGCTAGCAATTTAAAAAGTAACAGAAAAAAGTTGACGACAAAATAAACATATTTTCTTACCATAAAAATAATCGAAAGTTAAAATTATACACACAAACTATTTTATAAATGCACAGTTGCACACGGAAATGCAAAAAATTAATTTATTTTACTAAAATAGGTGTAAAAATATTTCTAATTATGATAAATATACTTATTAATTTGGAGTGGGATTTGAGTATTCTAAAATTTTTCCTGTCTGTAATCTGGTATTTTCATGTCTAAACGTATTTTTAAGCCATAATTATAGTAAATGAAATTGTATTATTCTCCTCTTTAATATACGAAGTTTACTTCTGTTACCTATGTTATTTTCACGATTTACTTTTCAGTTTGACAGGACTAAATATAATAAGGATTTAATTTTAAGGATAAATATTGGATTGAAGTCCGATTAGTTATCAGGACATGTCCTGAATTTCGTTTCTTAAATGGTGGCAATTCTGGGTTCTACAAAGCTGCGTCTGTACACCACAATAAGTATATTTTTGTAATAGTATATTTTACGCTTATTTTAAAAATTAAGTGTATTTTTTATGAGACTCTCGTTTTATTCATTTTGGTAGCTACCTACTACGTTTAAGATATCAGATTAGCCTCTGCAGTTATTGGAATGAAAACGGAAAGAATAATTTCCTTTTCGCTATTTAATTAGGAAACTTCGCTAATTTAACCGAATAAACATTTTTGCGTTGCTGAGTGATTGACTGGCTGACTGGCTGACTGACTGACAGACAACGTATAGCCGAAACTACAGAGCTTAGAAAGTTGATATTTGGAATGAAGATTCCTTCGGGCACTAAGGAGCACTAAGAGAGGGTTTTTGAAAATTCAACCCTTATGGGGCTAAACTAGGGGATGAAACTCCTCGGAAGGAGAGCGTCGCACACGCGCAGCCCTCGCTGATGTTACAGCACGGACCACTGCCATGCCTTCTGAGGTACTCCTCGGTCTAGCACCTTCACCCGATGAGCTTCTCATTCAGCAAAGAGGTAGTAATAAATTATGCACATATACTAATATTATAAAGCAGAAAAATATCTAATTTTCTTTGTCGGGAGTAATCTTCAGAAATACTGATCCGATTATGAAAATCCTTCAACATCATACGCGGGTGCTATAATTTTCGAAAGCAAAGAGTGTTTCTTAAATGGGCATGTTTAGTAGAATGTAGTTTTATTTATGTATCGAGATCGTTAAAGACCATTTTATTTACTTTTGTTGATTACAGTACCCAATGATATTTTATATTCATAGATTGTTTCTTTGGTCCAGTCATAGTAGTAATCTTCTCAAGGTTTTTTTTTATCCTTTATATAAAAATATATGAGGGTGTACTTGAAAATTCAATCAGATCTCTCAGGTCCTGAGGAGCACAGTGGTCAGAGCATTCGCCTGTATTGCGAAAGGTCATGGGCTCGACTCCCATCTCAGAGTGCGAGTGACAAAGTGTTTTTTTTTATTATAGACGATTATTTTCATTAATTAACTGTCTGTATGTCTATGTCATTTTCTTATTGTTCAATAAAGTATGCTTACATCATCTGTCTCATTGTCGATTTCTTATCGTATTCTTAAAGGATATTTTTATTTTGTTTTTTTTTTTCAGATCGAAAACATTGGCCAACAACATGGTCCCCGGATATGGAATTCAAACGTAACTCTTCGTTTCATTCATTATTACGCACACCACCTAAAACCGCCAGTCCGGTCTCGGCTCCAAAACTGGGTGCCATCTTGCGATCTTCGCCGAGAAAGCGGCTGCTATTAGGCGAAGTAGAAAGAATTCCACTCACACCAGAGAAGATAGATTTCAGTGACATCAGCACTCCTGAAAAGTTTAAAATCACCAGCCCAATGAAAAGTACACCGCCAATGAAAAAATCTCGCCTCGAAAAACTAACAAAATTCAGCGGACCAATAGACGCAGCTCTAAAGGGGTTAAGTCGCACTCAGCTCATAAGTGTCATTAAAAACATAACTTATACGCATCCTGAAATCGAAGAGGAGACGCAGAGAGATGCCGACGCCAGACTTAGCCCCGCTAGAGGAGAGATTGAGTTGTTTGAAGTCGAATATCTTCAAGAGTCTGCCGACATCACGATTGACTTCAATAACCGACTCGCCTGCTTACTCCCGCGTTGCGACACATTTGGATGCATTCAAAAAGTGTGTCGTGGAACAAGGGAAGGTTTTGGTGGAATCTCAGCATTGGGAGTCTGTTATTCGCTATTTTTTTCTCGCATGGACTTATGTAAGAGCTACGCCTGTTTGGGAAAATCAACCACATAACACTCAACGTATACAATGTTTCAAAGCGCTCACCAATTTTTGTATGTCAGCTCTAAAGAAAGGTGATCTGAGTCAGGATTTCCTAATCGATGTCCAAGATAAACTTCAAGACATGGTTACCGACAGTGATGATATACAAACATGTCTAAAGCACATTCAAGGGCAGTTACAGGAATAGGTTTAACTTAGTAACCGACAATGTACAATAAGTGAATTGTTGAAAATACACCAGTTATTTCTACTACAGAAGCACAAGTATGTAAGATTTCAATGCTATTGCAGAATATCGTACATTAGCGTGTAGATACACGCTAACTCATTGTTTCATTGTTTTATGATGTTTTTGCAATGGTTACTTATTACTTTATTAAAATTTACTTATTAAAATAAAGCTGTCTAGAAAAAGTCTTGTAGTTCACATTTATTTTAATGATAAGTGGATTTTGTATTAGACTAATTTGGGAATGAAACAATTTATTGATTGATATTTTATGAACACTCAAATATTAATACGAAAATTTAATTGTTTGGTTCTTTTCAATGCCGTGAAATTATTAGAATAACTTTGTAGTAATAAGTGCCTAAGTAACTATAATTTAAAACCAGTGATGTATTTTTTAAAGAATTTACACAATTGTTGTCATTAGTTATGAACTTAAATTGAATTAGGGTGTATGTCTGTCATGTTTAAAAAAAATATTAGATACGTATGTTTTTCTCAAAGAATGACTTACATACGAGGGTCAAACTGAAAGTTCTTAGAAAATCAAAAACTGATTACATTAGCCAGTTATTAGTTTTATTATATCTTTTCAAAATATTGTCCATTCACGTCAATACACCGCTGCATGCGATGGAACCACTGGGAAAAGCACTTTGCCCACTCGTCCTTAGGGGTCTCTTCAATGGCATCGCGATACGCAGCTACCGCTTCTTCAGCATTCATAAACCGCTTTCCTTTAAGCTTTTCTTTAATTTTTGGAAATAAATAAAAATCACAAGGCGCGAGGTCGGGGCTATACGGCGGGTGACCCAGTAATTCAACGTTTGATGTCGCCAAATAGTCGATCGTTCGCTTGGCGGTGTGCGACGAGGCGTTGTCGTGGTGAAGGAGGATCCTACTGCGAGGTCGTTTCTCTCGAACTTTTTCCAAGACAAGTGGCAAACAATTGGTAGTGTACCATTCTGCAGAAACTGTTTTTTGATCCTCTAACACAATTGTTGCAAAATGACCTATCCTTCCAAAGAACGAGGCCACCATTTTTTTTCCCGCACTTCGATCTCTCTTCACTTTAGTTGGCAACTCCTCGAAAGGAAACACCCACTGAGCAGATTGTCTTTTGGTTTTAGGATCATAACAGTAAATCCAGCTTTCGTCACCTGTTAGTATGTCGAACACAGCATTTGAGTCACCTCCGTTAAATCTTTCAATCATTTTACGACACCAATCCACACGATGGAGTTTTTGAGCCTCAGTCAAATTATGAGGTATCCACCGGGCGCAAAGCTTCCTGACCGCTAAATGTTCGTGGAGGATTTTGTGCACTTGACTCATACCGATGCCTAAGCTTGTCCGAATCTGTTGATAGGTCACTCTTTTGTCAGTCTCTATCATACGCCGCACAACACAGATGTTATCTTCAGTCGTCGCCGTAGAAGGCCGTCCCTCACGTAAATCATCAGTGAGATTAGTGCGACCACGTTTAAACTCATTAAACCAGTTGTAAACAGTCGCACGAGATGGGGCTTCATCGTGAAAGGCCAATCGTAGTCTATCATAACTTTCTTGTTGACTTAAATGACATCGAAAGTCATAAAAAATCATTGCACGAAAATTTTCTCGTGTTAAATTCATGATGACGTGACACAGACAATTTTCAATTTGCCGCCAAATCGTAAAACAAATGACAAATGAATGAAATATATACTCAGTAATATTGGCAAAGAGTTATATTTTCAAATTTTAGAATTATTTTTTTATTATATTGTTTATAAGTGGCCAGTTCTAAGAACTTTCAGTTTGACCCTCGTAATAGGCATTTAAGTTGCTTAGGTGTGATGTCTACATAGGTGTGATATCGTGTGTTTTTTAACTCAATGTATTAGTTATTTAATGATTATAAAAAAAAAAACTTAAATATTTTAGTCAAGATCCTTGTCATAATAAAATCTAAATATGAAAATAAAAGAAAGTTAGTTTGTAATAAATCTTGTGATATTAAGTATATTTGATTGTGATTAATTTTAATACAATCGACAGCAAGTCAGGTGATACCAGGGTTGCTAGCTGTCTTGAATCCCACATCCTGATTTCTTTATTGTTTTGTCCCGATTTTTTATAAAATTCGATGAAAAATATGAATATTTTTTATAATAGTTTTGGAAAGGCTGCTATTATTACTGTTTAAATAAAAAAACAATAACAAAAAAAGAGTTCTTTTTATTTTCCCCGCGTATTCACGCCAATAATAATGATATGGAATGGAAATATCTTTATTCAAGTAGGCTATTACAAGCACTTTTGAATCATCCAACAAATTTTTTTTCCTCTACCACTTGTTCAGGACGTCTTTTAGCTGACAAGAAGAACAAGCGAAAGAAACTTACCAGCTTTTTATCATAAGTAATGACATTTACATAAATCATGTCATTACCGAAATAATATGTATTATCACAATAATAAATACAACTTTCAAAGTCTGTAGGACATAGGTTGAACATATAAGTAGTCTTTATAGAACAAAGCGAAGGCTATTAATCCCATGCATTGCGATCCTTAAAATAATCATCAACTTTATAATAGCCTTTACTCATAAGTATATTCTTTACATGAATTTGAAATTTATTTATGGGTAGGTCAATTACATTTTGTGGAACTTTATTGAACATAGCAATACATTTACCCAGAAATAATCCTCTGGTTTTTTGAAGTCTGAAGCTTGGAACGGCAAGTTTATTTTTATTTCTTGTGTTAAGATTATGAACACTACTTTTTTTTGTGAAAGAATCGTAATGTTTTCTTGTGTGCATAATATTCTTATAAATGTATTGAGAGGCAACAGTCAGAATATTTATTTCTTTAAATATTTCTCTGAGAGATTCCCTAGACCGTAAATTATATATAGCACGGACAGGTCTCTTTTGTAGAATAATAATATCCTGAATGCTAGCCGCAGAACCCCGCAACAATATACCATACGTCATTACACTATGAAACCAATCTTGCTGTTTCAACATTTGTCAAGAGTCTAATTTTCTTAACAGCAAAAGCTGCAGAACTCAGTCTACTTGACAAGCTATCAATATGAGGATCCCATTGCAGTCGGGAATCTAGTGTAATACCAAGGAACTTTGTTGATTCTCCTAACTCAACTTTTTCACTTTTTATATTTATAAGTGTACTGACATGCCTCACATTAGGTAATGCAAACTTTATGGATTTCGTTTTATTTGAATTGAGCTTTAAATTATTATTATCAAACCATTATTTACATCGTCAAAACAATCATTACCCCTCTTAACTTTAAACAGTAAAGAGGTGTCATCTGCAAATAATACTGTCTCGCACAAATTCTTCGTAAAGTGAGGAAGATCATTAATATAAATAAGAAAAAGCAATGGTCCTAATATCGACCCCTGAGGTACGCCCATAGTAACTGGTGCCCCTGCAGATTTCGCTTCATTAATTACTACTTTTTGAGTTCTAGCAGAAAGATATGATTTTATTAGATTAAGTGAATTTTTCGTCACACCATAATGCTCTAATTTCCCCAACAGTGTTTCATGACTAACGTAGTCGAATGCTTTTGATAGATCGCAAAAAATGCCAATAGCGTCTTGTTTATTCTTCCAAGCATCATAGATATGCCTCAGAAGTGCAATTCCAGCGTCTGTGGTACATTTACCTCTGCTAAAGCCAAACTGATTTTGGTGAAGTAATTTATTTAATGAAAAGTGTGCAAGCAGTTGATTGTAAATAATTTTCTCAAATAAGGATTAACATTGGATTGAAGTCCGATTACTTCTCATGACATATCCCGAATTTTATTTCTTAAAAGGTGGCAACCCTGTGTGCTACAAAGCTGCATCTCTACACATCTACATTGTTCAGTTCAAAATCGATTGCAGTAATTTTATATACTATTGTGTTCACCTGACATACTGCTGTGTACTTATCAAATAATAGACCTAATTTTTATCGTAACAAAATATTTCATGATATCGTTTCAATAAGTACGTTTTTGTAAGGGTACTTTAGGGTAATCTACTCTATATAAAATAAACTTTATAAACAATAATAATAATAGTTGTTTATTTGCAATAATATGGTACAAATGATTATTATATAGTTATTAATAATAGTTTCTTATATTCTACAGTATACGAACAGTGTGCGATTTTTTTCTATGTTACATATAACACGAAGAATTTAATGTTACAGTAGTCAGATTAAATGTCATGCAAATTTAATTACCCATTTTATACTTACATTTTTTTTAAATATTATAATACATTTTATGGATAAAATATTCATGCAGCTGTTTTGGAACTTCGTTTTTTTTTTTATTTACATTACATAATTAAACATAGTTACACTTTTTAAGTTTTTTTACAGCATTTATAAACCACGAAGGTTTGTGCCAATGCCAAGTCATGTCAGTGAAGTTTTTTGGCAGCTTATTGCAAATACGTATAGCCATACAAAATGAGCCAATCTCTGTGGTGGCACACACAATTTATCTTTACATCTACCCCTATAATTGCAGCCATCACCATCAGTGGCGTAGCTAGGTAACCTAGGGCCCTGGGGCAAATAAAAAAATGGGGCCCCACTGCTATCAGAACTAGTAAGGTTTTTGAAGTAAAATCATTAAATATACAAATACATACAAATGCTAAGTAACTTTATCATCAGCTCTTTTTCGTGCATGGGCAGGTAATAAAACTATTAAACACTAACAACATAAATTACAATTTTATTGTTGTACTTGGTAGGTATTGGGCAATAAAATGAAATAGAAAAGATTCAACGGATTATTATATATTTATTTATTCATAGATATGTTACACCAGCTTACTGTTATTTAACCTATTGCCATGCAAGCTATTTACAAAAATGATCAATAGAAATATTTTCTCCAGAAGTACTTGCATAAGGCTGACTGAAAAACTTGTAAATTTTGGGCAATTTTTGTTTACTTTCTTCTCTTTGTTTTCGTTGTTTGCGTTTAAATGCACCACTGGGTTTCTTTTTTTTTGTCCATAATATTAGTTTTTTAATTTATTTATGCAATATTTATATAAGATTTTACTCAAGAAGGTACTCATTATTCACTGGCAACGTTAAAAGTAAAAAAGGAAAGCGAAACGTAATGATACGATACAAGACGTCGTTGGGGAATCCCTTGCAACCATTTTATCGCCGCTAGTGTTACCACATTTGACGGTTTACAAAATGACAAAATATCACGTAATTAATGGACGGCCCTACCGCATGTGACTTGTATTTTTCACGGTATTTTGAGTTATTTAGTGAGTAGCCGAAATCTATAGATTTCTTTACGTACCTATGTATACGTACTATAATCAAATAAAATTGAACATTTGTATGGACCAGTACAATGGACCAGGACTTTTTAACCATTCTCGAAGAAAAATCTTGAATCGAAGTTCACAATCGCGAATCACAAAAACGCATATCGATAAATAATAATGTGCAGATATTGATATCCGACAAATTGATGAAAACATTAATAACACTGTCAACCCACACAAATAATTTAGAGGAATTCCCTTTTTATAACTTTGGAATTTCTCACAACCGAGTTGCCATGATTAAACTCGAGTTGTCACCTGTGATATTTATTGACAGGTGACAAGTCGAATGACAGGTTGCAAATGGGAGAAATTTTCAAAAATTGAGTTCGAATGAGATTTTCTGTTAAAGATTCGAGGGCCCCCTGAGCTTGAGGGCCCCGGGGCACTGCCCCGCCTAGCCCCTTGGTAGCTACGCCACTGATCACCATTCACTTCAAATCAAATCATATGCTTTTTTACAAACTGCTATTTCATAAATATATAGACATGGCAAAGGAATAATATTCAGATTAATAAAAAGTGGCTTACATGTGTCCAGTATAAATATCCAGCACTACATATAAATCTTATACATTTTCTGTAACTTTAAGACTTTGTCACCATCAACAGAGTTACCCCATAAAATAATGCGATACAGTAATATTGATGCAACATATCCATGATAGCTGCAGTTTTAGAAACAGTACCTCTTATTCATCTTAGCACAAATTTCAAATCTGTTAAGTTTAAGCATCATCGATTCTATATCTTTTCCAATTACATTAATCATCAATTGTTATACCCAGAAATTTTGTTATATTTGCTTTATTGATTTTTTCTTAGTTATAATTAATATCCATATTATTACTATTTATATTTCAATTATTAATGTTACGTGTTTTAAATAGTATATATTTAGTCTAATTTTAATTACTTATGTTTAACCATTCCATTATCTTAGAGAGGAATTTATTTGTAACTTCACTCATCTCATTAATTTTTCGACATTTTACAATTAGTATTGTATCTTCAGCAAATAGTATACATTTATGTTCCGTCATATCTGGGAAGTCATTTATGTAGATAAGGAATAGTAGAGGGCCCAGCACACTTCCTTGTGGTACTCCTGTCTTATTTACGCGGTAAATGGATTGGCGTACCGCTATTTTATTCTATTCAATATTTGAAATCTTAACACATTGTTGCCTATCTATCAAATAACTTTCTTTCCATGACATAGCTATCACTCTTAACCCATGTCTTTAAAGTTTTATCAAAAAGAGAGAACAAGAAACGTAATCAAAAGCTCTTCAAGGCAAGCTTGTGTCACGGGTTTGGATTTCCTTAAACCGAATTGTTCATCCTTTAGTATCTTGTATGTGTTAAAAACTTGTATAATCTTTCTGGGATTATTTTCTCAAATACAAATATTTTTGTTAGTATTGAAATTGCAGTAATTGGCCTATAGTTATATAGTTATACCTATCTTCTCTTTCGTTCCATTTATATAGTGGCTTAATAATTGAGTACTTTAACTTTGACGGGTAGCAACCTTGCATCAGGGACAAATTTATTTTATAAACTAGTATAGAGGGCAAAGTATGTCATTGATTATTTGTTTTATAATTTTAGTATTAGTGTCATCATATCCCATCGATGATGTATTTTTAAGGCTAATTATAATATTGTGAACTTCCTTTTCATTTGTTGGTCTTAGATAAATCGAGTTACAGTGAAATGGCATAAGCTAAGCAAAGTCATTGCTATAAGTCAAACTAATAAAATTTTTATTGAATTCATGGCAAATATCATTTGGATTATTTAAATAGATGTGATTTGGTATATTAATATTTCTTATGTCGATATTAAGCTTTAAATTATTGCTTAGTATTTTTAATAATATCCCGCATTGCTTTACACACATAATTAGAATTTAAGATTTACTTCAGATAAGTATGTTTTTGTGCCTGAGCAATACATCTTTTTAGTATTTTTGAGTATCTAATTTTACATTTATTTTTATGATGTATTTAATTTGATGAGGTGAGACGATACTGTAGATAAAGACGCCTTTTATTTATGGAGAATCTTTTTAATTATTTTAGTAGTTTTTTTACACTAATATACGGGAAACATAAATTTTAAAATAGTTTAATAGTTTCGTAAAAACAGTCAAAAGCTTTTTCTGCATTTTTTTCTTCCATTACTTCATTGAATGAATATGATCTAACGTAATTTATAAAATTCATTTTATTATCTTTACTTTAATCCCCAATGTTTTCAAACCAATAATTTAATTTGTGTAAACGTATTTTAAGTCATAATTGTAATCAAAGAAATATAATTAGTCTCCTCTATACCAAATTTCGAAAATAACATAACATAATTTAAAACGCAGTTACAAAGGACTGAACCTAAATTCAAAATGAAAACAAAAATGCTTATTCATTTTTTTCTAGCTGCATAAGTATTATCGAAACGAAACTTGCTAGAATGGGCGTGTTTGTTGTTAATAGCATTTAATTATGAAATTAACGTTATCATTAGCAAGGTAATTTGTTAATTAGGGTTTAAATGAAGAGTACGTATACAAATAGCATGACATGCATTGATATTGGATGCATTCGTGATATAGTAGTGTTTGGATTTAGACGATTGATTTGTCGGTAAGTTATTTTTGCTAATTATATTATACAGTTATTGCCTTAGCCTTAACATTGTCAGTGTCATAAAATGAAAGTTTTGATATTATGCTTAAAAGTTATTTAGAAGTTTCTTTTATTTAATTTAATTGGATATTGCGGACTCGCATTGTAAATTTGTCTCATTATTGAAGCCTTAATTTTCCGACTTGGGTGTTACTGTGGGTGTTGGGTGTTACACGAGAGTTTAAAATTATACCAAATCGAAAAGAGAACGAGTTGAGAATTCTCTTCACATGTATTCACGCTGTGATTATGAGAGTCAAGCCACTTTCGTTAAGGTAGTTAACTTGTTTTTCCTCATCCATGTTTCCGCAGACATTTTAAATCGTAAGTCTCAGCATTGCATGCATGCATTTGCTGTCTGCATACACCTACCAATTCATACAAGGCTTGTGTAGTGGGCTATGGCCTGCTTTTATGTTATTTGGCAGTCGGCACAAAATAATATTTGTAAAAATGAAATAATAAATCATCATAATGGAACTTATTATTAATTTCTCTCATAGTCAAACCTATTTCCAAATTTTGTTATTTTAATATTCTTCTTGGTCTTTAAATGTTTATCGAACTTTGGTAGATCATTATCGTATCTGTAGCACGTATCGTTTAACCTGCTACAAACCTGTTTCCTTTCCAAAAGTTATTGTAAACAATGCAAGATGCAAACTATTAATGAGTCACTAATGTCAAGTTGCGCAAATTTTCATTAGCAAATAATGACTAAGCTCCAAGGATTTTTTAAAATTTGTATAGATAGTGTTATGCACTTAAATTAATGATAATATAATATACGTTTAGTGTAAGTGATGATGGAATTCCTTTAGTATAGGTCACTTCACTGCTAGTATTGCAATGACAATATTTGACCTAAGCTTACTGTCTGAATTGTTGTTAAGATAACCATGGAGCAAGAAGCTATGCACGGTGCGGTGACCCCGGAACGAGAGCGTCGCATACGCGCAGCCCTCGCTGACGTTACAGCACGGACCACTGCCATGCCTTCTGAGGTATTCCTCGGTCTAGCACCTTCACCTGATGAGCTTCTCATTCAGCAAAGAGGTAGTAATACATTATGCACATATACTAATATTATAAAGCAGAAAAATATTTTATTTTGTTTGTAGGGAGTAATCTTCAGAAATACTGATCCGATTATGAAAATCCTTCAACATCATACGCGGGTGCTATAATTTTAGAAAGCAGAGAGTATTTCTTAAATGGGCATGTTTTTAGCTATTTCAACAATTTTATTTTACAGTAGAATGTAGTTTTATTAATGTATCGAGATCGTTAAATACTATTTTATTTACTTTTGTTGATTACAATACCCAATGATATTTTATATCCATAGGTTGTTTCTTTGGTCCAGTCGTAGTAGTAATCTTCTCAAGGACGTTTTTTATACCTTATATAAAATTATATGAGGGTAAGCTCGCCTCAGTGATTTTTTTCCATCATGAAGTAATTGTCACTTGTCACGGTGACAAAAATCACCAGTGGGTACATAGCTTTAGTGTTTAAGATAACTAGTTAGCCATGTTGGATAGTCCGGCGTAATAGATTTTGAATAATGTATCTTGGCGAAACAAATATTATATATCGTATATATAAAAAAACTAAACATTTTATACAAAATATCAGTTTGAATTCTTATAGATACCAACTTTAAAATTTATTTGCTGGTTTTGATAAAGTATGTTCATTTGAAGTTACAAATTTGAGGTAAATAAAATCTGGCAATGAAATAAACACAGCACAAATTAAATTATTGTTAACTCATGCCACTTGGTCCAGTGCCAGGGGCAAGTTGGATTTATGAAGCATTTTTCATAAAGAAAATTATTCAGTATAATATTGTGAGTATGAAATCGGTCAAATATAAAACTAAGAACAAATTTTCATCTTTATCGAAAGTTTAAACATTTGTAAAAATAGTTATTTCGGCTGTTTGGGTAGATTGCCTGAACATTGATGAAAATACGCTCTGTAGTAACGAAAAAGTAACAAGTGCTTGAAGAATCAATCAGATCTCTTAGGTCCTGAGTAGCACAGTGGTTAGAGCACTGTGCTACTCAGGACCTAAGCCTGTATTGCGAAAGGTCATGGGGTTCGACTCCCATCTCAGATTGCGAGGGACAAAGTGGATGTTTTTATTATAGACGATTATTTTCATTAATTAACTGTCTGTATGTCTATGTCATTTTCTTATTGTTCAATAAAGTATGCTTACATCATCTGTCTCATTGTCGATTTCTTATCGTATTCTTAAAAGATATTTTTATTTTGTTTTTTTTTCAGGTCGAAAACATTGGCCAACAACATGGTCCCCGGATATGGAATTCAAACGTAACTCTTCGTTTCATTCATTATTACGCACACCACCTAAAACCTCCGGTCCGGTCTCGGCTCCAAAACTGGGTGCCATCTTGCGGTCTTCGCCGAGAAAGCGGCTGCTATTAGGCGAAGTAGAAAGAATTCCTCTCACACCAGAAAAGATAGATTTCAGTGACATCAGCACTCCTGAAAAGTTTAAAATCACCAGCCCAATTAAAAGTACACCGCCAATGAAAAAATCTCGCCTCGAAAAACTAACAAAATTCAGCGGACCAATAGACGCAGCTCTAAAGGGGTTAAGTCGCACTCAGCTCATAAGTGTCATTAAAAACATAACTTATACGCATCCTGAAATCGAAGAGGAGATACGCAGAGAGATGCCGACGCCAGACTTAGCCCCGCTAGAGGAGAGATTGAGTTATTTGAAGTTGAATATCTTCAAGAGTCTGCCGACATCACGATTGACTTCAATAACTGACTCGCCTGCTTACTCCCGCGTTGCGACACATTTGGATGCATTCAAAAAGTGTGTCGTGGAACAAGGGAAGATTTTGGTGGAATCTCAGCATTGGGAGTCTGTTATTCGCTATGTTTTTCTCGCATGGACTTATGTAAGAGCTACGCCTGTTTGGGACAATGAACCGCATAACACTCAACGTATACAATGTTTCAAAGCGCTCACCAATTTTTGTATGTCAGCTCTAAAGAAAGGTGATCTGAGTCAGGATTTCCTAATCGATGTCCAAGATAAACTACAAGGCATGGTTACCGACAATGATGATATACAAACATGTCTAAAGCACATTCAAGGACAGTTACAAGTATAGGTTTAAATTACTAACCGACAATGTACAATAAGTGAATTATTGGAAATACACCAGTTATTTCTACTACAGAAGCACAAGTACGTAAAATTTCTATGCTATTGCAGAATATCGTACATTAGCGTGTATCTACTCATTTTTTGAAGCTGTCTAGAGAAAGTCTTGTAATTCACATTGATTTTAATGATAAGTGGATTTTGTATTAGACTGATTTGGGAATGAAACAAATTATTGATTGATATTTTATGAAGACTCAAATATTAATACGAAAATTTAATTGTTTGGTTCTTTTTAATGCTGTGAAATTATTAAAATAACTTTGTAGTAATAAGTGCCTAAGTAACTATAATTTAAAACCAGTGATGTATTTTGTAAAGAATTTACACAATTCTTGTTATTAGTTATGAACTTAAATTGAATTAAGGTGTGCGTCTGTCATGTTTAAAAAATAGATACGTATGTTTTACTCAAAGAATGACTTACAAAATAGGCATTTAAGTTGCTTAGTGGGGGTTCTTTTTTTTTTTTTTTAGTGCCCGGTCTTACAGTCTATGACCAAGCCTCCTAACTTGTCCCCACTTTGTAGCAGGCCCTTTCTGTTCTATTTTTCTTAGTGGGGGTTCACTACGTCACAACTATGTAGAAAATCTACATAGGTGTGATGTCGTGTGTCTTTTAACTCAATGTATTACAGTTATTTAATGATTATAAAAATAACATTTTAAATATTTTAGTTAAGATCCTAGTCATAATAAAATCTAAATTTGAAAATAAAAGAAAGTTAGTTTGTAATCAATCTTGTGATATTAAGTATATTTGATTGTGATTAATTTTAATACAATCGACAGCAAGTCAGGTGATACCAGGGTTGCTAGCTGTCCTGAATCCCACATCCTGATTTCTTTATTGTTTTGTCCCGATTTTTTATAAATTCGATAAAAAATATGAATAATAATAATTTTGGAAAGTACACTTTCTATTATTACTGTTTAAATAAAAAAACAATAACAAAAAAGACTTCTTTTTATTTTCCCCGCGTACTCACGCCAATAATAAGGATTAATATTGGATTGAAGTCCGATTACTTCTCATGACATATCCCGAATTTTATTTCTTAAAAGGTGGCAACCCTGTGTGCTACAAAGCTGCATCTCTACACATCTACAATGTTCAGTTCGAAATCGATTGCAGTAATTTTATATATTATTGTGTTCACCTAACATGCAGCTGTGTACTTATCAAATAATATGTTTATGGAATATGGACAGTATGATAATGTAACTTAGAAAAAAGATTATATAAAAATCATGGAATGGACCTAATTTTTATTGTAACAAAATATTTCATGATATCGTTTCAATAAGTACGTTTTTGTAAAGTATATTTTACACTTATAATAATAAAGTGTATGTTTACTAACCTAAACGTAGTGTTTAAAGTCCTAACATATCAGATTAGCATCTGCAGTTCTGTCTTTTCGCTGTTCATTTTATTTGTTAATAATAATTAATTACTTAAGTCTATCATTTACATGGACATACCTACCTACATAATATGTTGCTTCTACATACTACAAAATCCTAACGGTCGCCCTTTAGGGTAATCTACTCTATATAAAATAAACCTTATAAACTATAATAGTAAAAGTTGTTTATTTGCAATTATATGGTACAAATGATTATTACATAGTTATTAACAATAGTTTCTCATATTCTACAGTATACGAAGAGTGTGCGCTTTTTATAAATGTTATATGTATATAACACGAAGAATTTAATGTTACAATAGTTATATAGTATATCATGTCAATAATTAATAATCAACCATTTGAATATAATATTGTATTTACGAATTATCATTAGAATTATCAAAAATCAGATTAAATGTCATTCAAATTTAAATTTAATTACCAATTTTATACTTAATTTAAAAAAAATATTATAATACATTTTATGGATACATTTTATAATACATTATATTCATGCAGCTGTTTTTGGAACTTCGTCTAAGTCATGTCAGTGAGGTGTTTTGGCAGCTTATTGCAAATACGTATAGCCATACAAAATGAGCCAATCTCTGTGGTGGCACACACAATTTATCTTTACATCTACCCCTATCATTGCAGCCATCACCATTCACTTCAAATCGAATCATATGCTTTTTACAAACTGCTATATCATAAATATATAGATAAGGCAAAGGAATAATATTCAGATTAATAAAAAGTGGCTTACATGTGTCCAGTATAAATATCCAGCACTACATATAAATCTTATACATTTTCTGTAACTTTAAGACTTTGTTACCATCAATAGAGTTTCCCCATAAAACAATGCAATACAGTAATATTGACGCAACATATCCATGATAGCTGCAGTTTAAGATACAGTACTTCTTATTCTTCTTAGCACAAATTTCAAATCTGTCAAGTTTAAGCATCATTGATTCTATATCTTTTCCAGTTACATTGATCATCAATTGCTATACCCAGAAATTTTGTCATATTTGCTTTATTGATTTTTTCTTAGTTATAATTAATATCCATATTATTACTATTTATATTTCAATTATTAATGTTACGTGTTTTAAATAATATCTATTTAGTCTAATTTAAATTATTTATGTTTCACCATTCCAGTATCTTAGAGAGGAATTTATTTGTAACTTCACTCATCTCATTAATATTTCAACATATAATATACAATTAGTATTGTATCTTCGACAAATAGTATACATTAATTTTCCGTCATATCTGGGAAGTCATTTATGTAGATAAGGAATAGTAGAGGACCCAGCACACTTCCTTGTGGCACTCCTGTCTTATTTACGTGGTAAATGGATTGGCGTACCGCTATTTTATTCTATTCAATATTTGAAATCTTAACACATTGTTGCCTAGCTATCAAATAACTTTCTATCCATGACATAGCTATCCCTCTTATCCCATGTCTTTAAAGATTTATCAAAAAGAGAGAACAAGAAACGTTATCAAAAGCTTTTTTTATAAGTTCAAAGCAAGCTAGTGTCACGCTTTTGGATTTTCTTAAACCGAATTGTTCATCCTTTAGTATCTTGTATGTGTTAAAAACTTGTATAATCTTTCTGAGATTATTTTCTCAAATACAAATATATATGATAGTATTGGAATTGTAGTATTGGCCTATAGTTACCTATCTTCTCTTTCGATCCATTTATATAGTGGCTTAATAATTGAGTACTTTAACCTTGACGGGTAGCAACCTTGCATCAGGGACAAATTTATTTTATAAACTAGTATAGAAAGCGAAGTATGTCATTGATTATTTGTTTTATAATTTTAGTATTAGTGTCATCATATCCCATCGATGATGTATTTTTAAGGCTCATTATAATATTGTGAACTTCCTTTTCATTTGTTGGTCTTAGATAAATCGAGTTACAGTGAAATGTTATAAGCTTAGCTAAGTCATTGCTATTAGTGAAATTTATAAAATATTTATTGAATTCATGGCAAATATCATTTGGATTATTTAAATAGTCGTGATTTTGTAATTTAATATTACTTATGTCGATATTAGCTTTATTTTATTGCTAAGTATTTTTAATAATATCCCATATTGCTTTACATACATAATTAGTATTTAATATTTATTTCAGATTAGTACGCTTTTGTGCCTGTGCAATACATCTTTTTAGTGTTTTTGAGTATCTAATTTTACATTTATTTTTATGAGATATTTTATTTGATGAGGTGAGACGGTACTGTAGATAAAGACGCCTTTTAATTATGGAGTATCTTTTGATTCCTTTTGTGAGCCATTTATTTTTAATTATTTTAGTAGTTTTTTTTACACTAATATACGGGAAACATAAATTTTAAAATATTTTAATGGTTTTGTAAAAACAGTCAAAAGTTTATTCTGCATTTTTTTCTTCCATTACTTCATTGAATGAATATGATCTAACGTAATATATAAAGTTCAATTTATTACCTTTACTTAAATCCCGAATATTTTCAAACCAATAATTTAATTTGTGTAAACGTATTTTAAGTCATAATTGTAATCAAAGAAATATAATTATTCTCTTCTATACCAAATTTCGAAAATAACATAACACATATGTTATTTTCGAAATTTAAAACGCAGTTAGACAGGACTGAACCTAAATTCAAAATGAAAACAAAAATGTTTATTCATTTTTTTCTAGCTGCATAAGTATTATTGAAACGAAACTTGCTAGAATGGGCGTGTTTGTTGTTAATAGCATTTAATTATGAAATTAACGTTATCATTAGCAAGGTAATTTGCTAATTAGGGTTTAAATGAAGAGTACGTATACAAATAGCATGACATGCATTGATATTTGAAGCATTCGTGATATAGTAGTGTTTGGATTTAGACGATTGATTTGTTGGTAAGTTATTTTTGCTAATTATATTATACAGTTATTGCCTTAGCCATAAAAATTGTCAGTATCATAAAATGAAAGATTTGATATTGTGGTTAAAAGTTATTTAGAAGTTTCTTTTATTTAATTTAATCGGATATTGCGGACTCGCATTGTAAATTTGTCTCGTTATTGAAGCCTTAATTTTCCGCCTTGGGTGTTACTGTGGGTGTTGGGTGTTACACGAGAGTTTGAAATTATACCAGATCGAAAAGAGAACGAGTTGAGAATTCTCTTCACATGTATTCACGCTGTGATTATGAGAGTCCAGCCACTTTCGTTAAGGTAGTTAACTTGTTTTTGCTCATCCATGTTTTCGCAGACATTTTAAATCGTAAGTCTCAGCATTGCATGCATGCATTTGCTGTCTGCATACACCTACTAATTCACACAAGGCTTGTGTAGTGGGCTATGGCCTGTTTTTATGTTATTTGGCAGTTGGCACAAAATAATCTTTGTAAAAATGAAATAATAAATCATCATAATGGAACTTATTATTAATTTCTCTCATAGTCAAACCTATTTCCAAATTTTGTTATTTTAATATTCTTCTTGGTCTTTAAATGTTTATCGAA